GAGACCTACAATGATTTGATAGCTAAATATGAGACCGTAACGTCTACGATTCTTCATTCAGAACATGAAACATACCGTCTCGCATTCATTTGAGCACATACGACGGAAGATGGCACTTCCGATGTCAAACGTGAGAAAGATCGAAATAAGCGCCAGCCGCACCCAGTGATATGGCATTTCGGCCCAATTCTGAACAAAACTGTGGTCAACTAGAAGTGAAGCTTGAAGGCACATCTGACCATGACCTACGACACGGTACTTTCGTTTCTAGGAAGTCAGCGGCAAAATCGCCAGGTGCTTACGGCTTGAGGCTGTTCCCGCCCTCATCAAGGTTGGAGTACCCTTTGTCAATGGTTGCTGTATAGAAGCTCTATTAGTAACTATCAACTGCGATAATGTAGAAAAGTAGGAACGTCAATGGTGTGGATGAGAGAATCCTCTGGAACTGGATATGAAAACAGGGTTTTTAAAGGGTTGTAGCAGATTCGTTGGCAATTTTGAGGATATGTAGGCTACTTGGCTCCCCTATTTCCATTCTGAGCACGACGCACCGCAGCTATGGTGGGATGTGCTTTGAACAAAAGTTGATGAACTCACAATGAAGATGTTAGCAAGATGAGCAGTGAGCAAGGCGTATACTCCCGCAGATGCGCCTACCACATACACTGCCGGATCAAGTGTGTACTGGAGAAGAGCGCCTAAGAACTGAGGCTAAGCTATGTGGCAAAGTTACCAGATACCAAATCTTACCTGTTAGTACGGCCATCAGATATAGGGGTCCTATTCGCCATGGTTTATGAACGATTTCAAGAGGGACTCCTATTACAATTTGAACCACCATATTGCCGAGTAGATGAAGTAGTCTGAACAAATGAAACGTTTACAGCTACATATGGATTGGTAAAGCTGCTTTCATACTTTGCGGCAGCGTCCACCAGCGTTCCGAGCGTCCGGCAGCGTCAGCGACTATTTCTATTTAGGAAAGCATAGATATCGATTTGGTGTCTGCAAGCGTCCTCCAGCGTGCACCAGCCACCAGCATCCGCCTTCTTGAGGGCTAGAGAAGTACAGGTATCGCTCTAGCGTCTGCCAGCGTGCACCAGCGTCTACTATCTGGGAGAGGGAAGTATGCGATAGGAGGGTAGCAAGACAACTGGTACCCTCCTATCGTGCCATACTCTCTACCAACTGTCTGTTACGCTCCTATCGGCCCCACACTTTCGCATCTCACGGACGCTGGGAACTAGTGAAGTGCAGGTCGTAGACGTTGGCAGACCCTAGAAGTATATTTATAACGTTCTAGGTCGCTGACCGCTGAACGAACGTCGTAACCTGATTGAGCATCTGTCGCTAGGCATATGCTGCCCTGGCATAAGTTTTGGACGCAGCTCAAAAATTTTCTTTACTAACCCTGCATGGAGAAGAGCGTAGGTGAGAAAACGCCATACTTGAGCCCTTAGTTTGGGAGCGAAGAGTAAAGGGCCTATATGGTTGTCGACATGGCAGCCTGCACAGAATGTGAATATGTCCTCACCAGGAGGAATTCGTTCTGTGTAGTAGTAGTAAAAGAAGACGGCCATCTAGAAAGTGGAGCAAATACTAAAACATTCAGCATACGGTAAAAGCGGGCGTTCATGACTTCTGCGACAGCGTCACGCAGCGTCTACGCACCGCACGGCGATCTCTTACGTTCTTGAAGTGTCCCTTTGCTGCGTCAGCGACTAGGAAGTACGATATCCATTAGCGTCCTGCGCCGCTCCAGCGGCGTCTGCGCAAGGCGTCTGCGAGGGCTAGGGAAGTTTGGTCGATTTCTAGCGTCTTCCAGCGTCAAGCTGCATTCAGAAGCGGTCTCGCGTGTAAGATACATATGGGGGAATAGGAGAATGGAAACAGGCTGGATTAGGCGTCGTGAAATTGCGGCGTGTGCAACACACTCCATAACTGCTAAAGCACTGAACTATGCGATTTAACGTACGGTGTAGTGCAATTGTACGGTCCACACGCCGATTTTCACGACGCCTAATCCAGCTGCTTGCTACTTCTACATAATCCCTATTCCCCGTCGCCGGTGAATGAACGCTGAAGGACGCTGGTAGACGCTGGCAGACGCTGGTAGACGCTGGATAGACGCTGGCAGACGCTAGATCGATATCTATACTTTCCTAGTCGCTGACGCTGCCGGACGCTCGGAACGCTAGTGGTCGCTCGTGAACGCTGGTAGACGCTGGTGGACGCTGCCGCAAGTATGGAGCAGCTTAAGAGGTCACCCACCTCAACGATTGTGATGGTTAGTATGAACAAAGGAGGAGGACAGCAGGTGTACTCATCAATATATGAGTGAACTTCTACACGTTGTTGTGGAGTGATCACTTGATCGGCAATGTAATATAGAGCCCGCTTCACTTGTGACGACTGAGCCTCTTTTGATGTTACCTGTAAAAGCATTTACCTGAGTTTTTTCTACACATGAGATGATGGACTGCTTTACTAACCAGTTCCTCGAATTCGTCGATCGTAATCCGTTGGTCGCCATTCTTATCAGCTTCTCTGAGGAGAGCCTCGATCTGATCATCTCGCAGTTTGATAGATGATCGCTGCTTCCGAAGCCGACTTCGGAGCACATCTAAGGGTATTCCGGCAAACTCCTCATCTGGGGAGGATTTGAGCTGAAAACGATCTATCACTGGTGAGTAATTGAATGCGATGATGTAGCCGAGAGGACGGAGAAGGGACACGGCAGCATGACTATGTCTGCTCTGGGAGAATAGACTGTACCGACATTGACCGTCAGTACACCTACCCCTGAACCTTCCGTGGGGCAGGGACACAGATCCGCGGCCAACTGCCCCTCCCCCTCCCACAGCTTCAGAACTACCTCAGCGTCCAAATGACGGGGTGAAAAGCCTACGCTAGCCCATGAATCACCGATAGGGCGACCGCGCATGGCAAACTGTGTTAGTGAAAATGAGAACATACCTTGTTGAACTGAGCTCTGTAGTGGGTGTGATAAGGCCGATTACTCGAAAACATCACCTGAAAAAGATATGGAGTAAGGTCATCGCAAGTACAGAACTCGACGCTCTTCTATAAAGTGGAGCATTTTGGTGCAAAGCACCCAAGAAATCAAGAATGACGACAAAGATTTTTCTTCATTATGAACCTTCAAGTGCAGGTGCAAGTAGTAAATAATACTGTTCCTAACAGGATTATCTTTACTCAATAGAATAGATTGATTTACTCGGAAGGTTCTTCTCACTCTTCCAAGGAAGAAAGGTGCAGTTATCCTGTGAATGGGGCATTTTGTAATTCAATACGTAAGGCATACGAGCGATAAGTATGAGTGGCACGCCACTACACCCGTCTTATTTTGTGTGGCGCACGGAGCAAATGATTCACTGCAATTTGAATGCTACGTTCCGTATTTCTGTTGCGCTATAGTACTAAGTGAGCCTGTAAGTAATGGCGTTTTTTTTCTCCTTTGAAATTTCATGAAAGACCAGCTGTCAGCTCAGCTCAGCTGAAGATAAAACCGTTGCCGTTGACTTTTATACTGTATTGCAGAGAATTCCTTGCCCTGCACGATAGATCTCTTAGTTTTTCTGAAGATTCTGCTTTCACTAATATCTAGGCGCTCAAATTGGAGTGTCAGGTCAACGAAATCGAGAATTTCGACAGCTCTTTTTTATTACTAATTGAAACGCCAAAACCGAACACGCCTGGTTGTTAAATTAATGGCCAGAAGCTGTGTCTCTTATAAATGTATGCAAGGGTTCGAGCAAATCAAATATTACAATTCCTCATAGACAGCATCCGAACACAATGCCCTATTCTGTCCAAGTGAGAGTTACTGTATCACCTGATTAACGGATGTTCATGTAAAAGAATGAGGAATCGTTAGAGGTCGTGAAATGCTTCTTCATAATTATTAGGCTTGTCCGGAAAGTTCTCAGCGTTTTGTGCACCTATTTTTGTACATTCACTGCTGATTAAAAACTCATTCTGCCTTGCTTCTCAGTAGCACATCCTGTAGAGAATTTCTTGCGCTATCTGATGGTATAATTGCCGTTTCACTTTGCATAAACAGCCCTTTTTTTTTTCAAAGACTTTTTGAAGGCATTGTGAAAAGAGCACTTCGGACGATTTTTTTCTTCGACTATAAATTGGGGCAATCCGCAATCGAAACAGCTCAACAAATTAACAGGTGTGGGGGCCCAATAGTGCTAGAGAAAGCACTGTGCGGCAATGGCTCAACAAATTTCGTTCTGGAGATTTCAGCCTGAAGATGAACCTCATAGCGGTCGACCTAAAGCAATATCTGACGAGGATTTTAGGGGGATTTTGGAGGCTGACCCATCCCAAACAGTTCGAGAGATAGCAGAAGAGCTAGGCCTTGGCAAATCCACTGTTAGATCAGATGGTCTGGAACGAAAATAATGGGAGGCCGTGAAAAATACATCGGACAATTTGGGTGCCCCGCCACCAATCCGCGTGAGCCGGAAAACGAGAATCGGCACGTCTCGAGGTTCCTTCTGCATTGCTTTTGCGCAGCAGAAACGACCTGTTTTTGGGCCGAATTGTCACCTGTGATGAAAAATCGGGTTATGTATGACAATAGGAGACATTCCGGACAGTGGTTGGATTTCGACGACGCACGAGTAAGAGATATATTTCAAAGATGAACGCCTCCACGAAAAAAAGATTCCGGTCACGGTTTGGTGGTCATCGGCTGGTGTGATCCACTATAACTTTTTATCACCAGGCCAAACCATCACAGCAGAACCCTACTGTGAAGAAGTCGACGAATTGTACCGAAAATTTTGTCAGATGCAGCCAACACTTATCAAAAGAAAGGGTCCGATTCCTTTGCATGACAACGCCCGCCCACACGTTTCACAAATCACTATCCATAAATTGAACGAATTGGGGGTTGAAGTTCTACCTCAACCGCCATATTCTTCAGACCTTTCGCCAATCGACTATCACCTTTTCTAACATTTTCAGAACTCCCTTGCTGAAAATACTTCATCAATTAGGACCAGGCAAAAAAGACCTTCGTAGATTTCGTGGATTCTCGACCACCCAGTTTTTTCTTTGAAGCGTGATTTTTGACTGCGTACATCGGCAAAGTGTGCTGATTCGAATGGTGCTATTTTCGATTAAATGCCGGATAACATAAAAAAGTTAGATCGTTTAATTGAACACCAAAACCTAGAGAAGCTTTCGGCGGACAACTAATAATTTGAGCGTGCACTTTGCAGTTCTTAGTTGGTGGGTAGTTTCTGCAGGCAGCGGCTCCCCAAGGCGGCGCGTCCACATTTAGCAAGGTCCGATACCAACTTTCTTGATCCGCCGAAACATTTCAAGCTGTGCATAAGTATTTCGTTTTCGTTCTCATATAAATATATCACAAGTTTCGGGATTCTTCTGTAATTTGAGAGCCGAGACAAAAGACAATGGGGAGAAATCTCAATTTTGTGCAAAAACTGAAAAAAGATGAAATTTTTGTGGCAAAAAATGTGCGGCACTTACATATGGAGCCAACCCAACGGATTCTTCGAACTGCGATCAGGATACACCATGGATACACCATGGGGATGTGTGAAGAAGAGATGCTAGTGCGACCCTCTCACCCCCGCCCCTGAAAGAGTCTCCGTACGAACAGTCAGGATAGTGATTTGGGCAGGGCCGAGGTAAAATCACAAGCAAAAAATTCACTGGATTTAAAATGTGTATAACGACTCTGTTCTCGCAATATTCTCCAGTAGACCGCTATAATCTTTGATGGAATACTATGATAATGGGGAATCACCATGGTTCTTCGCCCCATATTGAAGGTGGAGCTTTCATAACAAAGAAATAGCGGGCAAGGGTGTGGCTTGACGTCCACTAGGTGATTCAATTTCTCTCCCAGTCAACAAGGTCTTTCAACGCTTCCGCTCGGTTAATCGCTTGGAAATTGAAAACAGCTATAAGATTGGCTCGTGAGAAGCTTGTCCGTCGCGCTAAGGCCTCAGAAAATCGTCACTTAGGAATCCAAGCGGTGTAAAGATCAAAAAGGGATATCGTGTCATCTATCAGTTGTGCTTCAGCATGACAGCTCGCAGCAGAGGTAAGGAAATCAAATACATTCACAAACAGCTGCTTGATTCAAACACCGTCAAGTAATCGCTGGACACTACTTTCCCGTGAGGAGGAGCAACAGCACTGCATGTTTTCGCTCATGAGAGCAGATTCCGTTGTTGCAGACCAGATGGTTGTTTTATTGAAGTTTGCACTTCCACAGGGAAAATGAAGAAAAAGGTCCTCAGGCAAATGACTGACGCATTTGCGACGCAAAGTTCGAGTGCTTACGCAATCACTGTCATCCATTACCTACTGCAAAAGCAATGATTGCTTGTAGAACGCAGTACACGTCCTAGGGTGTGGTACATTCTTCAAACATGACGACCGCTCCCAAAAGTCCGTCGAGTGTTGAGGGGAGTTCTTTTCTCCGTCATTCAAAATTGTAAATCGTGGTGCACGGACACTAGGGCAAGTGGTGGGTTCAGATACTTCTCCTGCAAACCGAGTCGACTATCGCTGCCGCGCTCCCAGCGACGCGCCGAGATAGCACTGGGCATTTTGGTAGAAAAAAAGTGCTGAGAGAGCGGCAACTGTTACTTTTCCTCTATATCTGCTGGGTTGAATAACTGGATAAGGTACTGCTCCCTACATCAAATTAACTCGTAGAATCACCCACAGAAATGAGTGTACAGGATAGTGACTCAGCAAGAAGCGTTCATGTTTTTGCGAGTCCATTACCGCACAGTGATTTTGATCAGGAAGGACAAAAACAGTGGTTCCGTATCCTCGAGTCATTAAGAACACTACGCATTTGATTACTTCTACAGTAATGGACAGGTGCTGAATGCGAGGCCGTGCTGATCATTGTTGATGAATATTCCCATGGTTATTGTCAAAACAATGATTATAATGCTGACGTTCGAGCTGCGTCCAGTGGGAAATCGTAAAATTTCTTAGCGCTGAAAACACATTGCAAATGCGAACCACAAAATCAATTAGTAGTTCCTTCACAGCATGGTCTTGCTGTCCCTCAGTGCGGGAGGAGCGCTCAGACCAGAAGTGTCGGAATTCCACTAAGAATAAATGCTGAAGACCTTACAACTTGATGTTGAACTCGATATACTCGCCCTGACTGGGTACCCTCCAATGTGGCTCTCGCCTGCAGCTCTACTCCGTTGCCTGAGGACTGAACGCCTCCGTCAACCGCATGCCCGTTGAGGATCAACAATATAAGATTTTTCCTGCCGTTTATCTGCACTTTTATCCACTACTTACCATAAGTCCACTGACAGTAGAAGGTTCCTAAATGGACCCCATCCCCGTTCCATTACAAAATGGGCTCAAGTAATAACACCGCTAGCAAGCTCAGTCTCCAAACACGGATAGGTTGCTATCTCGTCCCAACCCATCAAGTGTGCCCCAGGAAACAATAATGGTTCCGAAAGGCCAGCTAATGAACCCTGGCAAATTTTCGTGTGTTTCAGCACAAGCGGACAGCGGTGAAGTTTTGAGGCGTTGTGAGGAGGATGACGTGCATAGCATTCGCAACAGTGCCCAACTGATTCAGCGCGGTCATGCTGCAGCGTTATACGTCATCTAGCTAGAAAATACCCTCTCGACACGCGCGCGATGCCACATCTTTAATGCCGTGAACTACCAGCAATTTTCTTCAAAGGGTAAGCTCCAGAGAAGCACATCGTCGTTCGCTGCAGGTGATGAAGCGTGGCAGTAAGGCTGGGTTTGGCGCCCCGCCAGTTCGTTCTGCAGCACTTGTGTAAGCAGCAACGGCTGGTGGAAAATAACTGATACGAACGATATGATACACACAAGTGGTTC